GTATGAAAGTATTTATAAGTATGCTTCGAGCACAGATACAAACAAACTCCATATCATTTTGCTTTCTCATCCTACCATATACCATACCAAGCATGCCGTTTTGTCAGCTTTGATTGCTTGTTTGGCGCTGATGACCTAAAGAGAGCCCAGTCAAAGATAAGAGGCCATAATTCATTGCGTCAAGATGGGCAGTTATTAGAAGGTCGGTGGCTTCGACTAAGGGATCAACAAATTGGAATGGCCATCCCATGCCTAAAGTCTAGGATTACTTAGTCCCCACGTAACGAGTCAGATTGAACCACCTGTATCCATCAACCGGGGAAAATCCAAGAAACCAAACTAAAGGGACGTTTAGATTGGAACAAAAGTATAGTTTTAAAAATACTTTTACTATATATAAAATAAATATATAGAGAAATTTATCTCAATTTATGAAAAAATGCTTTTCAAAAATACTTTTGGGTTACTCCAAATACCCCCTAAATATAACCTATCACGCGTGATGTTAGCGATGTTCTCTTTTTTTTTTCCTCATAATCTCACCTCACCTTTTTTAGTAAATAACATTATCTCGGCCCTATTTATAAAATTTCGTTTGTAGATTATAAATAAAGTCTCATAAATGGTATCAAATTTTAACAATTTAAATTTATTTATATCAAAACTCCCACTCTCTTAATCCAGCCCCCTTCACTTTTTTTGGGGGGGGGGGGGGGGGAGGCCACGCCACCGGATATGCATGGGGCACGCGAGCGTGGCGTTGTATTAACTTTGTTCTTCCTTCTTGCCTTCTTGGTCCCATTTTGAAGATTCAAGCTGAACGCATATGGTCGTTTTGCCTCGATTCAACCTAGGCTTGTTTAATGCCACACGCGTGTCTATGCATTTAATTATGACGCGGACAAGTTATGCTAAATCCAACTCTTACCGTTTAATATTCCTAAAAAATCAATCCCAACTCTAATCTTTAACATAAAAACTAATGGATTAATTTGATTAAAGTATAAAAATTTGTTAAATTAATTGTTTATATTAAATATGTATTATATTTCTTAGGATATATTTACTAATCAAATGTATTAGTTAGAACTACTATTTAATAGAATTCTTAACATGTGTAATTATATAAGAATATTACTTTAAAAAAAAATAGATAAATATAAGAGATAAAGTGGATTAGAATATTATATTTATGATTATATTAAGAAAGTTTGTTAAGTTAATTATTTTTTGTGATAAATAGGTGTTATTTTTTCTATAATACACTTATCAATTATGTATATTAGTTAAAACTACAATTTGATTAAACTCCTAATATATGCAACTACTATGATAGCACTATTTTGAAAAAAAAAAGATTAAAAAAAGAGACAAAGTAGACTATGATTTTATATTTAATATCAAGTTAAAAGTCAAACTGGCTTTTATATTAATGACTGAAGGTAACACTAGCCATCTATCTAGACTCAACTGGCTAATTTAGAGAGATTAAGAAAACAATTTCTTTAAACAAATTTGTGTTATTTATAATTGGTATAACAGATATAAGTATTTTAAAAAGATTATGTAATATATAATATAATTAAATCATTGCTTTTTTTTTAATCCCAAACAATTGGTAAAATGCAAAAAAATTATGATGTCTGCATCCACAAGATGTGAACTGCGACAAATCAATTAGAACAAATAGTATGCCATCAATAAAAAATTAGATCTATTAGAATAAACCAATTTTTGCTAAATAATTTACATATGTTTATATTTAATATACGATAATGTATTAAATAGAATTATTTCTGAAGAAAACTTGTGCAAGAGAAAAAAGAATAACCCGGGGGGGGGGGTGGTATTCACTACTCAGGCAAAAGTCAGAGTGAAAAGCCAAGGCCAGGCGTTAAAGCACGTGACTTCGGTGAAACCTTCCCCGGGGACAGCCTTCCCCTCACTCTCTTACTTGGGATCTAGGAAAAGCACACTTTGAAACCCAATTAAAAAACCATGACAATGACATTTAAGTCCATCCAAAATGTTAGTAATATCTCGAACTTTCAGATTGAATTTTTTTCCTCAAATATGAGTAAAATGCCAAAATTCTTTATTGACCGTTTAAACATTTTTTTACACTCCTAAAAAAATTACGCTCTCTTATTTAAAATATAAAAATTAATTGAGAATTTGATTTATTTATTTATATGATTATTTGAAACCATTTATTATATAATAAAATCTTTAGGCAATGTATAAGTTATGCTGAGAAAAGTATTTTGAAAAATCATCGCTTATTTTTTTACTACTAAATAGCTTATTTAATTGAAACTCCTCTTATCCTATTTATATAAAAAATTTTATTAGTCATATTTATAAGTCGTATGATTAAATTTTTAACATGAATATATTCTTATTTTTTATTTATTATAATTTATTATAGTGTATTTTACTATTTTTAAAAAAAATGTATATATTAAATAAAAGTAAGTTGCAAATTAAGGCATAATTAATTCAATGCAAAAAAAATAATTAATAAGATTTAAGATTATTTTTAAATAAAATATATTAAAAGTAATTTATAAATTAATTAACTAAGTACCACGTAATTTTGTGCCATTTTTCTTTGAGGCTGTCTTATGGCCGTTGCTTGCTCTTTCCCATTTCAAGGGCATGGGCGCATGGCAGGTGCCTGGCTTTCATTTAGTTGCAATACCTCCGCCCTCACATGACATTGAGCACATGGGTTGACTTTTATGACCCGACCCCCCGATATTTTAATTACTCCTCCGGTCCTTATTATAAGACTCCATTTGACTTTTTATTTGGTCCTAATTATAAGACCCCAATCCATTTTGTCTTTTATATTTATGTATTTTTTTCCAAGATAATCCTTCTAATAATGATAGTTTTAGCTAATATATTTAATTAGCAAGGATATTTTAGGAATGACAACACTTATTTATTATAAATAACCAACTTAACTTACTTTCTTAATCTCCTCAAATAAGTTAATTGGGTCTTATAATTAGGACCGGAGGAGTATTTGTGTTTTAAATATGTCTCTCCATAATGCCACTTGTTTCCATCCCATTACTTCATTCAAATTTTCGTGATATAAAATGCTACCTTCTATCATTAATATAAAAATTATTTTAATTTTTAATTTGATAATAGATATAAGACCCCAATATATATTTTTTCATATTTATCTATTTTTGTAAAATAATTCTTGTGAAAATTGTACATGTTAAAAGTCTCATCACATGATAGTTCTAACTAATAAGATTATTAGCAAGAGTATTTTAAAAAAGACAACACATATTTATTACAAGTAACTAATTTAACTGATTTTTTAATTACTCAAATTAATCAACTAACTCTTATATTAAGGACAAAAGATAGAATAAATTGTCAAAATTATGAGATTTTTTTGCCGACCAAAATTATGAGTTTAGCTGAACCCGTAACACGGAAGTAAACTTAAGTCATGTACTCATAATAGATTGCTTATATTAATAAGTAATTATTAAAGTATATATTATATTAATTTAAAATAATTTCATCTATATTTATAATTCTTTTTCCCACCTTGGACTCCATAATCTATAACATTAAGCATAAATATGTTTAATTAAATAAAAGATCAAGGTATTTTTTTATATGCGTCCAGCACTTTAAAGTATTTTATGTTATATTCAGTACCTCAAAATATGTTTTGGGTGTGTTTAGCACCCTAAAGTATTTTCTTTGCCTCAATGTCAGATTTATCAAAATATATTTTTAAGTGCATTAAAAAATATTTCACAGTGTTGGACCCACTTAGAAAAAAATTATAAATATATTTTTAATATCTTTATTAAACATTCACGAGACGTTTAATGATTGATCAAAGTCGCAGTCGTATAACTGTATTTGCGTGGTCCCACCGGTCGTTGGCCCTTTTATGCTCAGTTATGGTGGCGATCCGTGTTCAAACATGGCAGGGGGTGCTTTATATGGCGGAATAAGTGACTTGCGTGGCATGCAGCAATTGTAACACGATGACAGCTATTCTGGGAGTCATCGCCAAATCCCCCAACTTGCATGTGAGTCAATACAGTAATACCAATCCTAATTATAAGAGTTAGTTGACTAATTTAAGAGGACTAAAGAAATAAGTTAAGTTAATTATTTGTGATGAATAAATGTTGTCTTTCCTAAAATATCTTTGCTAATCAAATGTATTGGTTAGAACTATTATTATCAGAAGGATTTTTTTGAGAAAAATACATAAATATGAGAGAGAAAATAAAGTGGGGTCTTATATTTAAGACTAAAATAAAAATCAAATAAGGTCTTATATAAAGGATTGAGGGTAGTACTTGCTTAAAATAGAGATAAGATACTTTAAAAACAGCTCTTTTTTTTTCAATTATAATCTCCAAAATACAAAATAAATACATAAAAAGAGTTTTATCTTGAACAGCACCAAGCACCAAACAAGCCAGTATACTGAGTTAACCCAAGCTTTACAACAATATCTGCTTATGCATAATTCTGTACGTAAATTCATAACACAAATTGTATTTTCATGTAGAGCTTTGTTTGTTGTGTTAATTTTGATATCCTTATGTCTAGAAAATTAAATATACACGGTTGTATGTGAAACGAATATTATCTAGACATAGAACAAATTCTACTCATTAAGTTTATATATATGATTGCCATATAAGCATTTGTCAAATTCTGCTGCGATTTATTAGATGGATAAGGCTTGGCAGAATGACGATATCACTGTTAGCAATCAGGGCAAAAATTGTATTATTATATGATTAAAAACATATAATGCTATATGCCAAGATGGAAAAGATGTTAATGTTAGGTGACCTGTCGATTAATTACTGGTTATGGATAATGGGTCAACTAAAGTATTTCTTAATTTTTTGCCCATGATGAAGGTGCCGATATTAAGAAAATGGAGGAAAAGCGCAAGCCATTAAATTATAATTGCAAAAGAGAATTTCAGTTTGTGTATATACATGTGTGTGTGTGGGTATCTATATGTATGTGTATTTCCCTTCAGAGAAAATTTCAATTCTGAATGATGATAACGACAATCCGGTGATTCAATTCATTCAATAGCCCAAGGCTGCTGCAAATATTCATCTTTCTGAGTTTCTGTCGGTTGAATTTGGAAGGCACGTGATTCTCACGGACGTGCCCATATATCCCGTCTTCGCGGCATCAAGCTGCTTCATTCGCGTCTTCGTTTCTGCTTCTGGCGCCTTCGGGCAAGAGCAACGGGGAAATCTCTCCAGAGTTCTAAAGACCAGGATTCCTCCTTTGTCAAGAACTCTGCGTTACTCTTGCCGCATCTCTTTCCATTTCCATGCCCAATGGCTTCTTTGTCAGGATAACCGAATCGGGAATTGTCAGCTGAAATCCGGTGAGTTTCTTCTTCCCCTCACGGCATGGACGCATTGTGCTGCCTTTCGTTGTGTGATATTTCCAATTCTTTTTCGTGAAACGTTCTTGCATTTGATTTAATTATATGTCATGTTGAGGTTCATTCTGAATGAATTCCTAGGAGGGAAGGAGATGGAAAAAAAAATTAAAATGTATTTTTTGGTTTTGCGGATTACTTATCCGGGTCTTTTTTCTATACAATCGATTTGTTAATTAGTTTTTTCTTGTTCTTGAGCTGTTCTTGTTGCTTTGGTTGCCCTGGAAAGGAGAAGAGAATGATTTCATAGGTTTTAAATTTATCTGTTGAAACTTGAATATTTGAGGATCTGGGAATTTTCGTGATGCCGGTCTTTTGAGGTAACGGGAAAAAAATCTGACTTGAAAGCCAAGTTTTTATCTGCATTAATTAATATATTTATTATTTCGGTTTAATGCAGAACTGGTTTTAACCTTTATTTTTTCCCTTCTTCTCTTACTCCTTGTTGTTCCGATGTTAGGCTCCTTCTTTAATCTTTCATACATTCGCTAATCCTTTCTCAATCATTAATTTTTATTCTTGCATTCAATTGTGGAGTTTTACGTGCATTGTTTTCCCTTTTCTTCCTTTTCTACGTTTGACGTTTTAAAAGTCTTTTTTTGTATCGCGATTTGGTAAGACTCTTTGCCGTCATGAGCCTGATTTATTTACTATTTATTTCACGTTCTTGTGTTTGAATTTGAATTTCGCATTACAAAACTAAGCTGCTTTTGATTATTTCTTTTGGTAAAGCCCGCTAGTCTGTGCTGCCTGCCCTTCATCCAAAAATGGGCTGTTTCTACTCTAAGGCAGGACGTAAGAGAAGGTCACCTGTGGGGGAGGACCCTTTAGTTCTGGCATCAGAGACAGCCTGTAAGTCGATAAAGCTTTTTGGTTGAATCATTGAATGCTATAATTGGATTTGCTAATACTGTTTTATTGAGTTACAACGGCTGAAGTTAATAGGCTTCTTTGCTGCATGCTGTGAATATACCCTTTTTCTAGCTGAATGAATCTTAGAAATCATAGTAATTAGGTCTAACAATCCTTAAAGTTTTCTCATGTTACAAGTATAGTTCTAAAGGAGAGAGTTATCCCAAAAGGGTAGTTCATGAGATATGAAAACTCGTTACATTTATAAGCCCCCACCTCGAGGAAAGGCTTCCCAGCGTGGGATATGGCATGACCTATCACATGTTATTTTAGTTTAACTTGCATGTTGCCTCCTCTGCATCTTGGCCTCACTCAATGAAAGTACTGATGTTCTGAGCATAAATTTAAAGGGAGAACTTACCCCAAATAACTAGTCTATTAGATGAGTATAGCTGTTAAGATTATAAGTCCCACTTTTGAAGGGCTCTCCAATATTCGACTTAAAAACTCACTACGGAGTTTTTGGCAAGAAGAATAAGGATTACAGTGACACTGTCTAAAGGCTTTCTTTCCATGCACTTGCACATAAAACTGTCCATCAGCTAAAGGATGTTACAGTAATGCCTGAAAGTCATTTGTTTTTATTGAAAAAGTTTACTTTTTCCACATCGATGTGAAGTGTATATGTGATAAAATGTCTGTCTGTATGTGCGGGTGGTGTGAAAAATACATGTTAACTATGTTGCTTGAACTCGTGTGCCAATTTATGGTTTTTCAGTCAGTGTTAGTGAGGTTGAAGCACTGTTTGAGCTTTTCAAGAGCATCAGCAGTTCGGTTGTTGATGATGGACTAATCAGCAAGGTACTGGATAACATGCATTTTTCCCGCGATTGTCCATTAAGTTTGTGTTACTAGTTCTGGCTGTTTTTATCCCTTTTTGTTTTCTCTGGTTTGTGTTGTATGTAGCATCATGAGGATGTGGTAATTCCCTTTGCATGCAAATTTTGTTAGAAGAATTTTGGTCATAACTTGCTGGCAGTTAACTTCTTTGAATCCTTTGGTTAATCTATAGTGTACTATAGTTTCTGAGTCATAAGATGAGATTGGTTATCATGTACTTGTGATGCTAATTGCCATGAACGATCTATAAAATGTTTCCCTTTCTGTTTTGAGCTGTCTTTTCATGTTGTAATTATCATTCTTCTTCCACTGCAGGAAGAGTTTCTCTTGGCGATTTTCAACAATAAAAGAAAGGACAATCTCTTTGCTGGTCGAGTATGATAACATCCTTTAGCATGCTTAGAAACATTGCTGCAATAGTTATGGTTGCCTGCTGGCATGTATATGCCTATGGACAGATTCAAATGCACTCTTTGAATCATTGATATATAGTTCTACTAGTTAATGGAGAAATATGCGATTTCGTGATGTGCCTCTGAAGTAGACCCCAACAATATCTTAATCCTACCTCAAGCCTGTAAAATAATTATGAACCAACTAGCATTTGGCTGACTGGCTCCATTAGGTGTTGAATTAAGATATGCAGGTTATTATTCATTTGCACTTGTGAATGGAAAATATAGCCTCTTTTCTCATTCCGAAGTGAAATCTATAATTAGGTGCTCATGAATTTCTTCATTTACATATATCTGGCTAATTGCTGATCCTTATTCTGTTTTGATAAAGTGTCACGCAGCTTCTTGTATCTCCATGTATTTGCCTTTTATTAGTTGGATCTATATTGATATCATACTCGTTCTGAATGCAGATCTTTGATATGTTTGATGTTAAGAATAAGGGAGCCATTGATTTTGGCGATTTTGTTAGATCACTCAGTGTCTTCCACCCTAAAGCATCACAAGAAGACAAGATAGACTGTAAGTTGAAGATCAAGTCCTTAAATATAGATTTGTGGATCATCCTCAATCAAATGTTGTGATTTGGATGTACTGATAGGCAATGTTTGGGATTTTCTTGCAGTTTCATTTAGGCTTTATGATATGCAGAATACTGGTTTTATTGAGCGCCAAGAGGTAAGATCAAAATATATTTTTTGTATGCAATGACATTCTTAGTCTCTAGATTGATATTGACAGTCACCAGTTCATTCGAGTGTAACTATTTTTCTATACATGTGCCTACTAATCTCACGAAACATCTTCATTTTAATTTGATGATTTGCGCCAGGTCAAGCAAATGTTAATTGCTCTTCTTTCAGAATCTGAAATGAAGTTGGCCGATGATGCATTAGAAAAAATACTTGATAAGGTGAGCTGTCTTTGTTCAAATCCTAGATAATACTCTTCCAGTCTTTAATATAGGACCTAATTGTTGAATTGGTTTTGGTCCTAAATATAAGACTATTTATCATATTTATTAATTTTTTGTAAATTACCTATATAGATACTCTCTCAACCATAATCAAGCAGAAAAGAGAGGGAGGATATTAAGGAAGATGATTATAGTGTTTTAAAAAAAACATGTCATAGTTTTTATAATTAACTAACTTACCTAACTTTCTTAATCTAATCAAATTAGTTAAGTAGATCTTATACTAAGGACCAAAAGAGTATAAAATACAGATATTAGCAGTCAAAGACTTCTAAACTAATATTCTGAGAAGTCTAGGTTACTGATGTCATGATAAGAAATACAAGGCCAAATTGCTGCAGACTTATTTAGCTTCCTGTAGAAGACATCACAAAAGTAAAAGTTTAAACCTGATATTCTGTTCTTGTGGCCAGACTTTCTTGGATGCTGATACAAATCAAGATGGGAAAATAGACAAGTCCGAGTGGGAAAACTTGGTTGCCAAGAATCCATCGCTACTAAAAGTCATGACCCTACCCTACCTGAGGTAAGCCTATGTCTATGTGTAACACTGTTTATACGGTAAATTATTCGAACAACTTTCGGTTTAGCTCAGATCACGTAATTGTGAAATCAATGCAGGGACATAACAACCACCTTCCCAAGCTTTGTTTTTAATTCCAAGGTGGACGAAATCACAAAGTGAGAAGTTATCTATTTAGTTTTTGCAGTTAGGAGCTATAGGTGTAGTTTTGTTTCCCGCGAGAAATTTAAGGTCACTGCATATATGGTCTAGTGATAAATATGTAAAGTATTATTCAGAGGAGTTCCATTGAAATCCCTCTTCCGTCGTGTGCCGGATTTATTTTGAAGAGGGATAAAGTATTTTGCCTTGCCTCGTTTATTGTGTTTGTATAGTTTGGGGTAACTGGCTAATTGATGTTTCCTATAGGAAAAATTGCTAACCATTTTCAAAGAGTGCATAAATAAGAATAGAGGCGTACTTTACTTTGTCCTGAAATTAAATGCAAGTTTTCTTGTGATTATAATGAAATTTGATGTCTCTGGAATGAGATATTTGCAAATCTCTCTTTATATTAGAGGAAATACAAAAAAAAAAAATGAAGTGGATAAAAACAAGTGAAATTAACTTCGGATGAATTCACTCAGTGTTATAATTCTAAACTTAATGTATGACTTAATTGAAAAGTTAATGTTAGTACTACATATAAGATTTATTTGACATATTTATCAATTTTTCTAAATTAACTATATTAATATTCTTTCAATAATAATTAAGCAGAAGAAGAAGAGAGAATTAAGAAAGACGCTTAAAGTGTTTTGGAAAAAACATTACATATCAGTTAATTTAACGAGCACTTCTAATCTATTCAAATTAATTAATTATGTTTTATAGAAGGGATATTATTTTCTCTATAGCTGAGCAGATATACCTTGCCTTCAAAAGAAAAGCCGGTCAAACCGGAAACATGTTTTTTTAATTAAAAAACATGTTTTTCAAAGACTAAGCTGATATTAAAAACATCTTTCAATTATTATTAATATAATAATCCACAATCAATGTATCAATTTATCAATCAGGATTAAAATTATATACAATGGCTTATGGCATGCATTGGCCTCACCAAACTCTCGATTACAAAATGAGGAAATATTTTTACTTGTTCACTGCTTTTATATTTTAATAGAAAGTTAATTATGGTTTTTCTTTTACAGTAATAAACTGCACACCTGATAACTTCGTGGGATCGGCTTCTCTCCACTAAATTTACTTTTACTGCCCGTCTGCCTTATCCAAATACTCCTCCGGTCCTTATTATAAAACCCCATTTGACTTTTTATTTGGTCCTAATTATAAGACCCCAATCCATTTGTCTCTTATATTTATGCATTTTTTTCCAAGATAATCCTTCTAATAATGATAGTTTTAGCCAATATACTTAATTAGCAAGAACATTTTAGGAATGACAACACTTATTTATTATAAATAACCAACTTAACTTACTTCCTTAATCTCCTCAAATAAGTCAATTAGGTCTTATAATTAGGACCGGAGGAGTATATATTTTTTATTTTTTATTTTTTATTTTCAAAATATTTTTTAAAAGAATAATTTTATAAAATTGTTTTGAGAACATATACACAAAAAATAGAAATAAATAAGCCCCAAGTGACTAAGTTTCTCAAAATAATTGGTAAAGGCAAGAAAATAATTTTTTGCTTGAAGAGAATTAGAGAAGAGCAATATCAATAAAGTTCCAATTAACTTTGTATCATTTCACTTAGTTTTAATAAAATTTGTCTTATTATAAAATAAAAAGAAGGGCAATATTAATTAGTGAGGTAGCGTGAAATAGGAATATTATTTACTCAAATATTTAATAAGCTAAAGAATATTTAAATTTATTTTTATATTTAATGATTGATAGATATTGACAGAAAAAACAACTTGATTTTATCATAAAAACATATTTTCAGCAAGTGGAAATATAAGCTTGGTCGAGTCGCACGTGACCGGTACAAATAATCCCTTGGCCGAAGAAGCAAAATAAAATCCCTAAAATAGTCCCCATTGATTTCAAGTTTTCAACGCCTTCCGCGTTCCGTCTACGAGAGTCAACACCAAACGCCGTCGTCTAACTCAGCGGGGACAGGCGGTAATTGGCAAGGTAGTGGAGAGAAACCCATCCGGTAGTTTGCAGCCTTCTACTTCATTGCCGTGGTTCTTTGGTTCATGTTGTTGTTTTGTTCCTTTTGGCTTTGCCATCGACCATCGTCCCCCGAAGAAAATGGCTTGTGTGAAAACCCGAGGCCGAGACGCAGAGCAGCGGTATCGGAATGGGCGGCCGATTTAATTTGAGCGCAACTCTCTGTGACGTCCATCAATGGCAAAGCTCTGAAGTACGAAACTGTCACTGGGCTGGTTCGACCTTCGTAGTCTTCCCTCCTTCAGCATTGGAAACGGCGAAAGCACGTGGAAATCAGAGGCTAAGCAAGGATTTCTCTAGTTCAATCCGTCACGCGGTAAGCTCTCCGAGCGAAATTTTTTTGGTTCAACTGAAAGTGGTGTTTTTTTTTTTTTTTTTAACACACTGTGTAGCCGTATCTTACCATAACGAAGCCAATAGTAGTCGTATTCCCTCAATCTCCGGGCGCATTCGAGACAGAAAATTGGGGGATTTTTGCACGAGTCGGTGTTTTTGGTGATTGATCACGGAACATATTATACCGGGATGGTGCTTGGTTTTACCAAAGAAATTTTATCGCATAATCACTGCATTAAGTGCTTCTTGCTTAGAAAGGCCTCTGCCCTTCGTAGGACTGCCTTGACTTCAAACATTTATGATTTTGTTTACAATTTTCGGCTTCGAGGTTCTCAAGAATCACATGGTCACTGCATACAGTTCGTTGGATCTCTGCAAAATTTTTCCACTTGCAACCATTGTGAAAGGTTATCTTGGGAAGGTTCCTCTCGCGAAATTCTGTTGAGGAAGCTTGAAAGTTCTTTGAAGAGTCATCAAGTTCAAGAGGCATGGGAATACTTTCATGATTTTAAAAGCCTTTATGGCTTTCCTGTGGGTTGTCTAGTGAATCAGCTGGTCGTTCAATTATCTTACACATCTAATCATGTCTGGTTACGAAAAGCATGTGATCTAGCCTTGCAAATTGTCAAAGAGAAGTCAAACTTACTTCAGGCTGATACCTTAACTAAACTTGCTCTCTCTCTAGCAAGGCTGCAAATGCCAGTCCCTGCCTCGATGATTCTCAGGCTAATGCTAGAGACAGAGTGTGTTCCTCCTATGAATTTATTGTCGTTGATTTTTTTGCATATGGTAAAGACAGAAATTGGGTCACACATCGCATCCAATTACCTGGTTCAAATTTCTGATTGTTTTAGTTCCTTAAATGACAAAAGCGCTCATGAGGCAGTGCTGGTCAAGCCAAATACAATGATCTTTAACCTTGTGCTTGATGCTTGCGTGAGATTCAAATTATCACTGAAAGGTCAATGCGTCATGGATTTAATGCCAATGACAGGCACAGTGGCCGATGCACACTCCATTGTCTTTATTTCACAGATACTAGAGATGAATAGTTTGAGAGATGAAATGATGGAATTAAGGGGCCATATTGATGGAGTATCAACTCCTTACCTTCCTTATTATCGTCAGTTCTATGATAGTTTGTTGAGCTTGCACTTCAAATTTAATGACATCAATGCTGCTGCTGAGCTTGTTTTGGGTATGAATAAACAACATCAAAGTCATATCAATAGAAAGGACAGGAAACAAAAGCCTTTCCTTGTTGCACTCGGATCTCATCACCTCAAGCATGGATTGAAGATACAGTTTGATCCTGAGCTGCTCCAGAAGGACTCTGTCCTTAAAGTTGAAGGCCGACAACATCTTATTCTTTATAGGGATGGAAAACTTGTCCTCAGTAACAGGGCTCTTGCCAAGTTCATCAGTCGGTACAAGAAAGACGGGAAGATTAGTGAACTGTCAAAGCTTCTGCTGAGCATTCAAGAGGATTTATGTTCATTAGCAGGATCCAGTTTATGTTCTGATGTGATTGGTGCTTGCATTCAGTTTGGCTGGCTTGAATCTGCTCATGATATTTTGGATGACATGGAAGCCTATGGGTCTAGAATGGGCTTAGAAACATATATTTCTCTACTGTCAGCATATTACAAAAGAAAAATGCATAGAGAAGCAGATGTTCTGATAAAACAAATGAAAAGGGCAGGTTTGGATGAAAATTTATCTGATGACACTATTAACAGACTTGTTCTCAACGCAGAAACATCATATTCACTTGGTTTATCTGATTTAGCAGTCACTTTGGGTCAAGTATTGAAAGATGAAGAGGAGACAATTTCCCCTGCAATTTATGAGCTTAATTCTTGTATCTACTTTTTTAGCAAGGCAAGAATGATAGAAGATATGTTGAAGGCATATAGAAGACTAAAAGAAAAAAATATTCAATCCGCAGTCCAAAGTTTTGCTTATATGTTGTTTGGATATTCGTCTCTGGGTATGTACCGTGAAATCACAATTTTATGGGGAGACATCAAGAGATTCATGAGTAATGGCAGTTTAAAGCCAAATAGAGATCTGTATGAGTTACTATTGCTAAATTTTCTTCAAGGTGGTTATTTTGAGAGAGTGATGGAGGTCATTGGACATATGAGAGACCAAAACATATATACTGATAAGTGGATGTACAAAAGCAAGTTCCTAAGACTTCATAGGAACCTTTATAGGAGTTTAAAAGCGTCAGATGCTAAAACAGAGGCACAGAGCAAAAGGTTTGAGTATGTTCAGGCTTTTAGGAAGTGGGTGGGAATTGATTAAACATCTCTGAGTAATATTTATGTATTGATGCATCCAACATAATTTCCAGCAAATCGTTGGTGTCTTAGCATGGTCGATGTTATTTGCTGAGTCATATTTGTGATCTATCAGTTTTACTTCTGCCTCAACTTCAGTTTTTGGAGAACAGGAGTGAAGTATATAAGAATATCTCAATGCAACTTCAAATGTATTTGGATGACTTTCAGATTCTGGTAAATAGTGGAACCCGCTCATTTATGTCAGGCTATTCTTGGACAAGTGGGCTTAAAAAATTTTTAACTAGTTTTCTTATTCTTTCTTCTTACATTTTGCTTCTTGTTAAACACTTTCAACTGTTTTTTCCCCCTTAAGTCAAGCTCATTAAAATCTCTCCTTTCCTTCTCCTCCAACCAGAGGGGGTTAAGAATTATTATAGCGCGCTTGGTAATTTTGAATTAAAAAAACGATTGGGTTGTACTTTTAAATCGCCAATTCATCGATATTTACACGCTTCTTCTTCAGTTTTATTTCTCCATTTCTACTCCTCTCATCTTGACTAGGCACTGATCCAGTCTGATTTTTATAACCTCGATCTTTCTATAAAATTTCTCATCTTTCTATTCCCTTCTATCATCTATGACTGGCTAATCTAAAGAAAATGACAAAT